GTGTACAGTTACAGTTTTGAGTATAGTTTTCCCCTCTTGCTAATAGTTATAGAAACTTGAATTAAATTAGCACTTACAGACCGTGCAACTTGTCTGGAGTGAATATTTGGCCCACAGAGTCCTTTTATCCTGTAACAGTGTTATGATTGGCTAGAGTCCATATTCTAAGGGGTTCACAAAAATTAATTAAAAAAATAATGCTTTCAGTCTCTCCCATAATAAATTAATGCCCGCTTGCAGATAGGATACAGACTGCTTACTGTTGATACACATTTTTTAAAGGACAGTCTAAGAAGTCCCAGACCTACAATGAAGCTAGCTGAAAAATAATGCTTAAAAAAGAAGCTCTAGGTTTTGTCATCTGGCAACAGTAGTGTAAATAAGCTAGAATTCTATAAACAACACTACCAGCTCAAGCTGTGTGCACTGCCTGAGCTCTTTTACTGTGAGCTTTCTGTGGCTCCCCAACCATTTTTCCTGTGTTTGAAACTTGGGGGAGGGTAGAGTTGCCAGATCCAGGTTGGAGCCTGGGGAGGACAGAAACCTCAGGGGAGTACAGTGCCGTAAAGTACACCCTCCAAAGAATTCATTTTCTCCAGGGGAACTGATCTCTATAGTCTGGAGATGACCTGTAATTCCAGGGGATCCCTACGTCCAAACTGGAGGCTGGCATCTAGGTGCCATTGTGGTAATGAATCCTAATTCTGCCAACACACCACATGTTAGATCGCCACTAACAAAGAGTCGGAGAGTGATTTCAGCAATAGTGATCAGCTTTATTGCAGGTTCGAACAAGTGCTTTAAAAAGCCATAACCAGAACAGTTTAACATTGGGAGCTAGGCTCCTTTTAAACATTCCCGGGCTAACGTAGGCATGCCTCTGTACAATAACCAACCAGTGAGGTTGTGCGGATAACGTCCAATGAGAGTTCTTCCCTCACAGGGAATTGGCACAGTTCTGATTGGTCGCTGTTACCAATAGTAAGTTAGCTCGGAGGAGCCTTCCTCTGGCTCGAAGTTTAACATGGAGAGTCATGCGGCGATTCACGCAAGCCTTTTCGAATACACCACACCACAGAATTTTGTTTGGGCATGGAGCTAATGCAGAATAATGCTTCCTTTCTTTTCATCTTTCTACTTCTAGCCTTTTATGATGTATTTCTTTCTGTATATATATATATTTTTAAATCACAAAAAAGAAGAAATTGCCTCACACTCTGAACGCACTCCTTACCTTGGTTAACATTGCAAATATTAGAGAGGAGATCCAATCCATATAGGTTTGCCAGCCAGTAGCTGGCAACTGGCAAGAGTCTGGTAGGGTGGAGACATGGGGAAGGTGCTGTCAAACCACAGCGTTTTGTCATCTTCAGGAACAATCTGGAAGTGACATCACTCTATGCTAGGAATTGCTAGAAACCCTATGGTAAAATCATAGAGTTTCTGGTGACTCCTAGAGCAAAGCGACATCACTTCCAGATTTTCCCCAGAAGTGATGTCACACTGACTGTGATTTTTTTCCCCTGCCACCAGAGTGGCAATGGGCAGCGGGCTAGGAGCAGGGAATTTCTTCCCCTTCCCCACAGGTAAATACTCTTAATACTTATGTGTGAGAAGAAACATTATCCTTACAGATTCATGTGGTATCCTAAACAGACTTTTTATATGATATTTCAGGGATGTGTGTGTGAAAATACTTGCAGTGTTTTGTTAGCAGGACCCAATCTGAATAATAACCTTTTTTCAGGAATTTCCTCACATCACCCACTTTAGTCCTACTGTTTCCTGTTACAAAAAGTACTTCCTCCAAAATTTAAGAAATATTGTTGTGAGTTGAAAGAGCTGGCATCTCATGTTTGGTGTTTTTTTAAAAAAATATTTAAGTAGTTATGTTATTAATTATATTTTTATCTCTCTTTTCAGACAGCATTGGTTTACAGAGTGCTTAAAAACCCAATAGTAATGACAATAAAATTTAGTAAAATGTTCCGTAAAGAAAGGGGACCCAGCTCAGTTGGAACTAGGCAAAATGGAGAGCTGCCTGGCTGCTTCTTGCCCTCCCTTTTCATTCTGTTTGTCATTAAAAGTATCTCTCCTTATATATAATTGAATAGTGGGTGCCAAAGTTCTAAAATGCACTCCTTTAGTGTATGGACGCTTGAACTGTCAGTCAGAAGACGCTGGCTGGGTTGACTGGCTGCTTTGTGCAGTCCCGCCCAGTGTTTCAAGGTCTTTTGCATATGGAAGCTGATTGGACTTCACTGCATTCCACCCCTCAAACTCACCTCCCTCCCCGCAAAGCAGTTGGAATGTCAGTTGCATATGGAACCTTCAAGGTCTTTTGCATATGGAAGCTGATTGGACTTCACTGCATTCCACCCCTCAAACTCACCTCCCTCCCCGCAAAGCAGTTGGAATGTCAGTTGCATATGGAACCTTCAAGGTCTTTTGCATATGGAAGCTGATTGGACTTCACTGCATTCCACCCCTCAAACTCACCTCCCTCCCCGCAAAGCAGTTGGAATGTCAGTTGCATATGGAACCTTCAAGGTCTTTTGCATATGGAAGCTGATTGGACTTCACTGCATTCCACCCCTCAAACTCACCTCCCTCCCCGCAAAGCAGTTGGAATGTCAGTTGCATATGGAACCTTCAAGGTCTTTTGCATATGGAAGCTGATTGGACTTCACTGCATTCCACCCCTCAAACTCACCTCCCTCCCCGCAAAGCAGTTGGAATGTCAGTTGCATATGGAACCTTCAAGGTCTTTTGCATATGGAAGCTGATTGGACTTCACTGCATTCCACCCCTCAAACTCACCTCCCTCCCCGCAAAGCAGTTGGAATGTCAGTTGCATATGGAACCTTCAAGGTCTTTTGCATATGGAAGCTGATTGGACTTCACTGCATTCCACCCCTCAAACTCACCTCCCTCCCCGCAAAGCAGTTGGAATGTCAGTTGCATATGGAACCTTCAAGGTCTTTTGCATATGGAAGCTGATTGGACTTCACTCCATTCCACACCTCATACTCCCCCCCCCCGCAAGGCAGTTGGAATGTCTGGTGGTGTGTAGGTCCCAGGATCATGTTTTAAAAGCTGCCTGGGGAGATGGGGACCTCAGACAGGTACAGTGCCATAGACTCCACCCTCCAAACCAGCCATTTTGTCCTGGGTAACAATTGCTGCCAATCTCCAGGTGAGGGCTACAGATCACTCACAATTACAACTGCTCTTCAGGTAGCAGAGATCAGTTCCTCTGGAGAAAACAGTGGACTCTGTCATTATACCCCGCTGAGGTCACCACAGCAAGTTGACACTGTTTGCCCAAAGCCAGAGCACTCCCCCAGAGCCTCTTTCTAGATCTCGTTGTATAGCTTTCACAACGGGCTTTACTGCTAGTTTTTAATATTTCAAGGAATATGCTATGAGAAAATTCTTTAAACAGTTGCTGGTGTGATGTAGCCTTTTTCTGATTAATTTAATTTAAAAAGACAAGAGAACTGTGGGCAGGAGAATAAGCACAAGGCAGCCTCCTCCATGTCATTTGCCTTTCTTCACACTCAGGCTCTATCCTCGTGAGGGTTGGTAGCAGCAGGGGAGCAGAGTGGCAGTGTCATCAGCGCACACCCTTTCCCACAGCTTTTGAGATCACTCCAAAAGTAACCTCCATGTGGCTTGACAAGTTTCCAGTTGTTGTTTTCCGCATGTAATTATTATTATGACCCTCCCCCCGTTTTTGAAACATCCAGCCTGATGAAGAATTCTAGAGAATTTGAAAACTTTCACAATGTTTTATGTCACTTTGATTGGTCTTAACAGAAGGCATTGCATGGATTTTGTCTTTGGATTTTTCTGTGGACCAGTGTGGCTACGTGGAACTTCTGGTCCCCCCCCCCCCACATGGCAGCCATATTCATATTCAAGAGGATTTGCCAGTTAAGATAATGCTTCTTAGCATTTGTTTAGTTTCAGAGTGCATTTGCCAGGTTTTGCTAGCTAACACTTCTCACAAATTGCAAATGGAAGGAGCACCAGTGGTGCCAGATATAACGGGGTTTTTGCATGCAATACATTTTGCAAAACCTTGAGCAGAGTCTTAGTGATGTGCACACATGAGACATCTTGCCTGTTGTACGGCTTGCCAAGAGGTAGCCAGACACTGCAACAGATTGAACTACTTAGATGAGGTTTTCCTTCCCTGCCTCTTCCAATCTTCTGTTCTGATTTCTTATGCTGAAGCCTCTTGTGTGCTACTGCCATACAAAAGTGCAGTCTAAAAACTTTTGTTTTTCTTAAAGTGAAAGATGAACCGGGGGAGCAAGAGCAGCAGGGCCTGAAAGGAAATGGTTTCAGCTTGACACCAGTCTGTATATACTGGGCTTGCAGAAATCGTATGGGAGGCTTTGCTTCATATCACGTTAAAGGTATTCCGTGTTCTCATGGTGGAGGTCTTGAGGCTTGGGGCTAGAAACTATGTTTTAAAAGCATGCTTGTTCAGTCTCCGCAAAAGTGAACTTTTTCTATCATCTCCGATATTTTTCCATCTCTAAAATGTTATCCTGCTTCTAAGATCTTGACACACACACCCTCCAATGTGATTGAAATATAGCAAAAGAAGAAGTGATGAAACTACGTCCTTCTTGTTTCTACAGTCTTGCTGGCCTGGCTTTTCTGGAGGAACACAGACTCCATTGTTGTTAACCCCTTTTTCATAGGAAGCTGTTATATGAAATATCTGAATGTGTGATGCAGTGCTGTTCAAAGCCCATCTTCGACTGAAGTGCCTGAGGTCATCCAGAACAATGAGACATTCTCTGAGTGTACCTTTTTATCGTTCCAATATTATGTTACCCAAAAAGTAGGGGGAGGGGGGGCCTGCTAAGCACCTGTCACAAGTTTTTCTCCTTAAATTAGACTCCCTTGCTTATAAAAAATTTAATAGATTCCTTGCAGTTTATATGTATGGTGCTTAGTTGGAGTTCTTTCTGTTCTCTTGCCAGCTACACGGTTACTTAGAAAGTGAACCGCTCACGCTACAGCTGTTCATCGGGACTGCAGATGACCGCCTGCTGCGACCCCATGCCTTCTACCAGGTTCATCGGATCACCGGGAAAACCGTTTCTACTACCAGTCATGAAACCATACTTTCTAACACCAAAGTCCTGGAAATTCCACTTCTACCTGAAAACAACATGAGAGCAATGTAAGGCCAGCATCTTCCTATATGTAGCCTTTTAGTCTGCCCTTATTATTGCAAATTAACATTACATGCCTCCCCCCCCCCAATCTGCAGAATCTTATACAAGGTCTTTCTGGGAAGGAAATTTTACACAACTTTTTAAGGTGGCTTGCACCTAATAGTTCTAATGTCCAGGTAAATTGTGCAAATATTTTTTTGGGACAACTGATTCTTTTTCCTCTTGAGCTTCAACCAGTGTGCTTCTTTGCCATTTAAAATGAGTATATCAGTTACAGAGCTGTAAATATCTTCCACCTCAGCTCCTGCTTTTAGGCTCCTAACCTGACACCACCTAATTCCTGTAGGCTGTTCTACATGAAATCCAGCCTATTAGAACTCTTCCAAAGAAGCAAAAAAGCAGGGGTGTTTGTCTGTGTGAGTTAAGATTTGTGAGGCTGAAAGTACATGTGGCATGCAATCCTTGCTTGTTTTTTAAAAAAAACCAAAGTTAGCCATGGGTCTAGATTGGCTGACTTGGAGAAGAGGTGTAGAATGGGCTGCTGTGCTTTGTGCCCTCTAGTTTTCCTACTTTGGCCAGGTTCATGCAGGCAGGACAATGGATCGTATCACTTCAGACTGCAGATGGAGGATCAAATTTTGAAATGCTCTCTTGTGTTAATAGCTCCCTGCTTTGGGGTAGTGTAGCCAATTTGCTGTAAAGAGTGGCGGATTCTAAACTGGAGAACCGGGTTTGATTTCCCCACTCGTCCACATGCAGCCAGTTGTGTGACCTTGGATCAGTCACAGAGCTGTTCTCTCAAGAGCTGTTCTCTCAGAGCTCTCTCATCCCCACCTACCTCACAGGGTGTCTGTTGTGGGGAGAGGAAGGGAAGGAGACTATAAGCCACTCTGAGACGCCTTTGGGTAGTGAGGGGCAGGGTATAAATCCAATCTTCTTCTTCTCCTCCTCCTCCTCCTCCTCCTCCCTGCTATGCTAGGTTTGTGTTTGCATGGATCTTTAATGTGAACAAACAAACAAAACTGGAATCTGTCTCCCGCACCCTGAAGAGGCACAGTCTATTCTGTCACTGCATTCCCATCTGATTGTCCTGCGTATGTGACCCACATCTAAATTACCTCCCCACAACCTGTTTTTTATCATTGTGGATTGTGGGGGAATTCTGCAGTCTTTTGCTCGATATTTCTTGTGGCTGCTTTTGGTTACATTAGAGAAGACATCGATGTGACTGTGTGTCACTTGTTGTTTCAGCCTGAATAATTTGGATAGTGCAGAGATAATGAAAATGCCTAATCCCAGAGAAATGTACCAGTAAACCAAAGTGAAAATAGATAGTAGCCATTAGGACTAAATAATTTACATATAATGTTCCTTTCCCCTAATGGGATTGTAGCAATAATTTAAATTTGAGAGAGATTTAGGCCCAAGCAACCAAGACCCCACGCCCTTGTTCTGTTGCCAGGGTACTGTTATTTTAAAAAATAAAGAATAAAACCCTGATGGCCAGTTTTTATCATATGCTAAAATGCTGTTGCATTAAATAGCAACTGGAGCTGGAAGACAGCAAAGAAGAACAAGATGAAGTTGCAGTGTGCATGGAGCTTAAAGGCATCACCACACTGAAGGCACCGAGTGTATAACTCACTTGTGTGTGCAGAACAGTGCCCCCCCCCCACCGTCCTCCAGGGCATGGATGAGACACCATGAGGAATTCAACAGACTGGGTGAAGACAGCGAGATTTCTTCTGTTCTTGTAATTCAGGATGAGGTTAACGAATGGCATTACAAACATAGTTATTGTATACAATGACCGGAAACCCCTAGGAGTCAGCCTCATTGGCTAACATAGGACTTGCTTCTGAGTTGCTTAGGGGGGCTCCCTGAGGGTCATTTTATGTGAACCAGCCTAGCCCAGTATAAATAGCACAGCTACTTACTTGACTATCAAGATTAATCAAATGCTTTGAGTGTTTCGCCCAGCCATTTGAATCAGTGAAGTTGTAGGACACATGCACTGACACCAGTCCTGAAAGTCCATTTAATCCATCAAGACTTTCAAAGAGTAGGTTAATTAGAAAGCACCCCCATTTAATTATTGTTTAGTAAGTTTTGCTGTTGCTCAGTATTTAAGGTTGCCATCTCTAGGTTCGGAAATACCTGGAGATTTAGGGGAAGAGCCTGGGAAGGGAGGGGTTTGGGGTGGGAGGGGCCTCAGAAGTGTATAATGCCATAGAGTCCACCTTCCAAAGCAGCCATTTTCTTCAGGGAACTGATATTCATCACCTGAAAAGCAGTTATGATTTTGGGAGATCTCCATGTCCTATCTGGAGGTTGGCAACCCAATGAGTATTATATTTAAAATGGGAATCCCATGGATTTGTGGCAGTGAACACCTTAATCCTATGCAAAACTGAATCTCAGACGAAGGCTCATAGTAACCTGACTGTCATGGCAGCCAGTCTGTTGGGTTAATGTCTTTTTGTTTTTTTCCTGACTTTCAGTTGCAATCGTACTATACTGTGCTGATATGTATGCATATAAGGGGTATATATACGTTACTTATCTCTTTGCTGAGTAAGAACTTTATGTGGCTGCATCTGGCCCAAACGGCTGTTACCAGCTCATTAAACAGGACTCTAGATGGATGCATTTGTACAATGCCCAGGATTTGCTCGCAGCGCCTGTACCACACGTCGTAATGGCTGACCCGACTCTTTTTTGCCACAACAGCAGGAGTTCACTTTTTCAGAAAACCAAGAGAGGGAGAGGAAGGTCTGACTGCAGTCGATACTTTATAGTGGGACTGTCGTGCCAAATTCTAGCTGAAAATGTATGTGGAAGTTGGCTTTACTCCACGACAGTCAATGGCATGCAGTCAATTTATACAAGCAGAGCATATGGCCAGCCATCTTCCCAGTTACTGAAGTCAGATCGCTATTTCTTGTCTTTGGCAGGCGTGCAACATACATCTTCTTCATAACTCGTAATTATGATGTTTAATAGCACTTTTTATATACAGATAGAGTGTCTGGGTTTTTTTCCCTGATGAAGATTCAACAGGTGCAACTTCCCCTGGCATGAAAACACAACATTTCACGTGTTGAATTTTGGCATGTCATGAAGTTGTTAAGATAGCTAGCCACTTCCATAAAGCATATAGGATCCTAAGACTGAAAGGGAAAACACGGAGTGAAATTGCTCTAAGTATGCCATTATTTAAAAGCTGCATCGATTTCTAAGCCAGAGACTATAAATTGTGATAAGAATATTGTATCGATGCCTGTAATAAATTTTAGTCAAACATTCCACAGAGCTGGCATTTCTGTAAGGGGGATCGCTATGAAGGTGGTCATGGTACCTCTCTCTTGATACAACTGTAACAACAATAGGGTCAGGGGCTGGAGCGTAGACCTTCTCTTATTATTAAAGCCTTCTGTGGTCTGGGTCCAGGATATAGTAAGATCTGCTTTCTCCCAATAATCCTACCCAGAGGCTAAGACCTTCCTTACACTTATTACAGTAGCCTCTGCGACAACACCACAGCTCCTGCATAATTTTTTTCAAAATTATGAAAACATCCCATTTTGATTCTGAGCAATAACAAAACTGAAGTCAGAAATACTCAGTTTAGCTACAAGGGGTTGGGTCAGTAGGGTCAGTTATGACTGTTGTTGAATCTCTTTTGTGGTCCTGGTTATTTTTCTTTGCCTTCTAACTACATGCAATCACCTTCTCAGCTTTTGATTTCTCTGCCTGTCTTTCAATGCAATTTGATGATATGCTTTGAGGACGCAGGTGGAAGCTATGCAAGTAATGTCGTAGTAGTCCGGGTAGCAGAAATTAGTCTAGCTGTTTGGTAGAACCTAAACATCCAGGAATGGCTTGGTAGACTTTAGAAATGGAATCCCAGGGTCCATGAATACATTATTTCTACTGATAGCAGTTTTGGTAACCAAAGTCAGAATTCATAAGATCCCACATAAGCTGTTGTAGATTTTCCAGGTTGTATGGCCATGGTCTTGGTATTGTAGGACCTGACGTTTCGCCAGTAGCTGTGACTGGCATCCTCAGAGGTACAACACAGAAAGATGGAGTACCTTCAACAACACATCCCACATAAGCCTAACTTCTACTACTGTAGCCATAATCAAGTTGAGAACTTACGTTTAATTACCCATTGTGTCACAACATTAAATACAAATAACCTTTCAAAACCAGATTTTTTAATTTACAAACTCTAATATTGAGTTTTTTTGCTTTTTTTGGAGTTAGCAACATTATTGTTATTTTGGAGTTAGCAACACATCTTGCTGGATTTGTTTTCCTCTACAAAATACATTGTACTGTAATCATTAAAAAAATCTGGTTTTAAATAAATGATTGGCTGGTATTCAGCCAGGAGCCAGCACTTGTGCTATGTTGTATGCTATGACCAGTGGCTAAAACAGTCTGACCGAACTGAGTAAATTGTATCCTCAGCTCCGGAGGTGTCATGAATTTCCCAGTGACATTTTGTTAGTGCAAATCAGTTTAGTAGTTTTGGAGACCCTCTACATGAAAACAAACAACACTTTCTGGTTATTGATGCCATTTCCTAATAAAAAGCTTTTTTCTTTGAAAAATTCCTTGGGTTTGAATTTATTCCATCAGCTTTAATCTCAAAACCAAGCTGAGTTTTGCTCAACTGCTGTAAATTTCCCTACTCTTAAAGAATTTATTAAATCCTAATCATACATTGATTTCTGTAGTAATTACAGTAGTAAGAAGTGCATCTAGTAATGATAAATATTTATGACATGGTCTCAAAACTTCTTGTGATCATCATATGGGATTCTTAGCTCCAGTGCAATCAAGACTATATTTCCGTTCATCAGAGAAGTGCCAGAAAGATTAATGGCACAAAGGTCTAAACCTGTCAACATCTATTTTAGGATTTTACTTAGTCTTCTGGCTACTTTCAGAGGAGTGGACTGAAAACACACTCCAGATTATTTGCTGTTGTATCCATATAAGTGACAAATGGTAAGAGAGATTGTGAAACAGCTGCCTAGCAACTGCCTATTTTTCTACATAATTCTGTGAAATTTAGCAGTAAGTGCTAAAATAACTGGAGAGTTCAGTGAGGGCTCATGTGTGGACCTCATCAGTGACTGGGCTTCTGGCAACTGTGCAACTGACTCTGTTGGATCAAAACCTGGTGCCTGGGGTGGGGGGGATAAGCAGAAGAAAATGGAAGGTCTGAAGGATCTAGTTCTGCTAATGGGTCTCTATGGGATTTCTTGTGTTTTTTTCAAAGAACCTGTAATTATGTTCTAAAGATATAGTGGAGATGCAGACAATCTGAACACGTGTAATTCTGGAAGACTATGAAAGTGAGTTGAAAAGTTCTGTTTTTGATTTTGGTCAGCATTGACTGCGCTGGAATACTGAAACTTAGAAACTCAGACATTGAACTGCGGAAAGGAGAAACTGATATTGGAAGGAAGAACACCCGAGTTCGTCTTGTCTTCCGTGTTCACATTCCCCAGCCCAATGGGAGAACCCTTTCTCTGCAAGTAGCCTCCAACCCAATTGAATGCTGTAAGTACCAGTTTTTGTCAATGCATTTGGTGTCAATATGATATCATTAGGGTTGCCAGGTCTTTACCTTGCCTGGAGCGGGGGACTGGGGGGGGCTTCCAGGGGGGCGGAGACATTGTGCGATGTTCTCGGTGCAATGACATCATCCGGAAGTTACATCATCATGCCAGGAACACTCTGGTATTTGGGCAAACTAAGGTATTTTCGGCCTCAAAACCATAGAGTTTGCCCAAATACCAGAGTGTCCCTGCATGATGTCCCCGGGACAATGACATCACTTCCAGCAAGTCCCTGTTTGGGGGTGGGGCTTCCTCCACTGGCGAGCAGCAGGCTGAAGCCCGAAAAATTGGGGGTTTCCCCACACCTTCAGGGGGAATGGCAACCCTAGATATCATGTATGGTCCACAAATCTTCCTGAAGTCCACTGGCTGCTTCCATTTGAGGCTGAAAAAATGCTCCCCACTACAGCAGCAGCAAGTAGCACAGAAATGGGGTCTGCATGCTCCTTTCCCATCCCACTTGCTCTACAGACACCCGTGAGCCTCCTCTCCTCCATGCCATGTATGCACATTACACAGCTCACATACACACACACAACCCCTTAATGGGCTTTTCCCCTTCTTTATTCTCAGCTGCACTGCAGCTGGGAAAAACTACATGTTATGCTTTACTCAAGTTGCCACTGGCAGATTCTGCATAAAAGCACAGCAGGGTCCCTATTTGGACTGGGACTTCAGCACATGGAAAAGGGGCTCCAGCCTTCCCCCTCTCACCATTTTCAGGAACCAAAACAGCCTGGCCACAAGCTGTTTTAGCTCTTGAAAACAGTGCCAGGGAAGGCAGAAGTCTCTCTCCCTGTGCTGTGGTCCTGATCCAAATCAGGCCCCCACTGAATTTTTACACGGAAGTTGCCACTGGGGACTTGCCGCTTCATTATGGCTGCGAGTCCACATGGAAAACATGTGTAAAGCAGAACATTTAGTTTTGCTGTAGATGAGCTTCCAAAGAACGTGGCTGGAAGGAGTATGTGAAAGAAACGGATCACCAAAATATATTTTATGGACAAGGCTGCCAGATTCCATAGAACTACTAAAAATTAATCTGATTGTGGGCTAATATTCCATAACTCTTAAATATTGTGTGAAAGAAGGGCTAAAGACAAAAGACAAATGTGGCACAATTTCTCCCAGATAACCTTCTGCTGAATCTACTTGTATTACATTGTGGTGTTTTAGGGTTCACACTACCGAGGATTTACCTCAAGAGATTACTTTTGGCTACCTTGCAACTATGTAGTTCAGTGATAAGTCAAAAATGGTACTGAGTATGATTTAACAGTGCTAAAAAGATAGTATGGTGTTTTCAGAATATGGTATAGCACAACTTATGCCCATTTGTCTTCAGGTATACTTCACACATGATACCATATTGTCCCCACTCTTCATACATGCTATAAAAAGATATATCTTCTAGAGCACTGTGTGTGTTTTTGTGCGTGGAGAGAGAGAGAGATAGAGAGAGAGAGAACACACAGGATTTTATTTTGTATTGATTATGGTGTTTTTTCTTTTTGGTCTAATCAGCTCAGAGATCTGCCCAGGAATTGCCTTTGGTGGAGAAGCAAAGCGCTGACAGCTATCCTGTGATGGGCGGGAAAAAAATGATACTGACTGGACACAACTTTCTTCAAGACTCCAAAGTCATTTTTGTGGAGAAAGCTCCAGGTATTTAAAACTCTGGTCCTAAAAATCAGTGCATACGCATGTGCCTCTAATGCCAGTGTAGTATCCTCCTAGAGTCCCTGTGAGAAAGGCGGACTATAAATAGCATAAGTAAATGAAAACAGTGTCACAGTGGACTGAGGAGCTGTGCTGTAGTAAAGGCCCTTCTACCTTGCCCTGCATACTTACTTGCTGATGCCTTCAAAAGTAACACTAACAGAGTCATTCCAAATTCGAGTTAAAGGCCGACTTCCTCCTTAAGATTGCAGACTAAAGACAGCCCCCTATCCAGAATGAATTTTTTAAAAACCAAAGTTTTGAATTTAGCTGTTCCAGCAAACAGTGTTAGCCCATTATGCATATGTCTCTGGAGCCTTGGCCAATCCTGGCATTATGAGCCTGTACAATGCATGTATTTTGAAACACATATTTACTGTGTCATTGTAAAGCACTCTCTGTGTGTGTATATCGCAGAAAACGTGTTGTGTAAATGTTCATTTGTTAGAAGCAAACAAACAAAAACCAGAATCCTGTGGCAGTTTAAAAATGAAGATGTATTGTGACATAAACTTTTGCAGACTAGAGCCCCCTTTGTCAAAGCCATCCTGGGTGGGCAGAAATATACATGCATCCATGTAGAAGGAAAGTTTGTAAGCAGCTGGGCCAAAACCTCTGATATGCAAAGGGTTGCAGTAGGTCTCTCATATTCCTGCAAAGCCAGATAAGGACATATAGAGGTACAAGATAAGAACAAAGTGACCCATTCATAACTACAATAACAGATAATGTTATCTTTCTTGTTATGCTAATCGAACACCTAAAGAGGAGCAGCAAGCTTAAAGACCTACAAATTTTCCCAGGTACGCTTTCAGGAGTCAAAACTGAGAGCCAGTTTGATGCGGTGCTTAGAAGCGCAGACTCTAATCTGGGAGAACTGGGTTCGATTCCCCACTCCTCCACCTGCAGCTGCTGCTGTGACCTTGAGTCAGTTGCAAGTTCTCTCAGAACTGTTCTCTCATGAGCAGTCCTCAAAAGAGCTCTCTCAGCCCCACCTACCTAACGGGGTGTCTGTTGTGGGGAAGGGAATGGAAAGGAGATTGTAAACTGCTCTGAGATTCCTTTGGGTAGTGAAGGGCGGGGTATAAATCCAATCTCCTCCTCCTCGTCTTCTTCTTCATCTTCATCATTATCAGGATCATCGTTATCATCATCAGATAACCTGACAAAGGAAGCTTTGATTCTCGAAAGCTTCTATCCTGGAATGCTTGTTGATCTTTAAGGTGCTGCTGGATTTGAAGCTTGCTTCTCTACTGCAGAACAACACAGCCACCCATCTGAAAACTAAAAAGGAACAACTTCCACAGTGGGGAAAACCAAAAACAAAAAGAAGCCTTGCGTTGCCTTAAACTGTAACAGATTTATCCTAGTGTAAATGTACAGGGGCCACAGCCCAGGCATCTGATGAAGTGGGCTCTAGCCGACAAAAGCTTAAGCTACCAGAAATCTGTCAGTCGTTAAGGTACTACAAGGCTCCCTTTTGTTCTCCCATAGTGGAAAGGATAATCTAATCTTGATAGAGGCTGAATGAAATTTGCCAGTAAATCCAGGTGGATCCGTTTCTCTTTGGAGCCAGCCATTATTGGTGATTTTGAGGTCATCAGCAGTGTTCTAGAAGACTGAAATCTTCTCCTGCTAAGGGCTGAGCTGAAAAGACCGACCTGATTGTCCTGAAAGGTATTGTTGCAAGTAGGTGGCATGTATTGTTCCAGAGGATGTGCCGGTAGATGAGCCCTGATGAGAGAGCTGGTTTCATTAGATCCTGTAATACTGCTCCTTGAGTAGACAGGATGATAATGCTGGCACCAGAGTTTGTTGCTGAGCTGAAATAAAGAGTTTTGGAACCTGTCACTGTGCAGATGCAGCGAGTTAATACCAATTGGTATGTCTGTTATGAAAACATTCTTGGGGCTTGGCTATATAAGGCTGTGGTCCTGTATTGAGGAAGTCTTTCTCACTGATGAGTGCCACTGTACATTATGACATAGTTATACATAATGTTTACAACATCACCTGACAAAGCTATGCAGATTATTTCAGTCATGGTTAGTATTAACAGTAGTGTAGAGTATAGAACTGGGATTCAAATCCCCCTATGTCGTGAAGCTCGCCTGTGAGCTTAGACCAGTTCGTCTCTCAGTCTAAAGGATACAGCGTTCTTGTAAAGGTAAAATAGAGCAGGAGAGAACAGCATCTACCACCCTGAGCTCCTTTGAGGGATGGCTTGATAAAAATAATAAATAAAAAGCAGTGTAGTTTGATATCATAGAGGCTAATAGATTCTTCCTTTCAATAGTACTTTTAAAAACTGAATTTTATGTGTTGGTCATTTTCATTGCTTTGTTTTAATCTTAACCATGTTAATATAATTTCTGAGGGAAACGGTAGCAACCAAATGTTGGAATTATTTTTGCAATAAATGTATTAATGTCAGTATGTAAATTCTCATCACTATATTAAAGGTAGTAAATATAATGAGTGTGTAGCTTTGTTAATTTATTAGGTGCTCATTCATGAACATTAATTTGTCTCTATACAGTCTGTGCATGCACAGACATGTATTTCCAGCCGCAAAAAGGTAACATTGTGAGTGAAGAAGGACAGTTTTTTGCTTGCCTGCCTATGATGTTCTGTAACTTGACATTCTGATTCCTATTCTGAGGTACTGTATGACCCACACTAAACTGCAAGGAGATAGGTGAATGTGAAAACACTTGGTACCTGGCCAGGTCAGGTCTATCTGCCATTTTTATTTGAACCTGCGACAGAGATTGTGAATTAAGTAAATTTAATCCAACATAAATTGCAGATCAAAATGTAGCTAGAACAGATAGCTGTGTGTAAAAAACTGCGGTCAGTGAAGGTGAGAGCCAGGGAGGAGGAGCGACTTTTTTAAAGGCTTCTTGTTTTGGAAAGGGTTTCCGTGGTGCTGGCAGAAACCAGAAATTCCACAGCTGCTTGTCAAAACCCACTGAACTTTAAGCTGTCTCCTGAAATTCTCAAGCACTTTGCTTCCCCCAGCCATTCAAACGAAGGCTTTGATAATCATGACCATTTAACCCTCGACATTCACTGAGTTCCAAAAAGATTGCTGCTCCACTATGTAATCTATGACTGTCCTTAGCTGCATATGATACATTCGAGGTGCAAATAGTTTTGCTGAGTAAGGCAGTTCCTTTTGATTGTCAAATGGGAGTGCAGCGCAGTTTCAGAGATGCACATTAACTGGCTCAGCCAGCTGCCTAAATTCAGCTTCAAGTGTGAACCCAGCGGAAAGGTCTGCATAGAAAACAAGTGTGTGGAAGCAGAGGCAGGTTTATCATAACAGCTACTATGAGAGTTTGTGTGCAGATTGAACTTTGAGTGAAAATTGCAAGCTTTTTTTTAAAAAAAAGTACAATGATGTGTCCCCTATATGTGATGCATCTCACATCACCTCTGTGTGCCACTTAATATGGTGGTGGAAGAAGCTGCCATTAAGGTGTGCTCTTAGGAAGCAACCAGAGGAAATATTACTATTTGTTGTTGTTATTCAGTCACACAGTCGAGTCCAACTCTTCGCGACCCCATGGACCACACCACTCCAGGCCCTCCTGTCTTCCACCGTCCTCCGGAGTTTGCTCAATTTCATGTCCGTTGCATCGATAACACTAACCATCTCATCCTTTTCCGTCCCCTTCTTCATTTACTTTCAATCATTCCCAGCATCAGGGTCTTCTCCAGTGAGTGCTCCCTTCTCATTTGGTGGCCAAAGTATTTGAGCTTCAGCTTCAGTATCTGGCCTTCCAGGGAACAGTCAGGGTTGATTTCCTTCAGGATTGCCTGATCTCCTTGCAGTCGAAGGGACTCTCAAGAGTTTTCTCCAGGACCATATTAGAAGCTACTTAATACATACTTGAAGCATTGGCTATTCCATCCACATTGAGCAATGTCTGTTTTTTCACCAATGTAAACTGATGACCTGACTATATATATAATATTATATTATGTTATATTTTTCAGTCATATGCTTTGAACTCATTATAAGCTACCACTGTTACTTCAGCAGAACCCCAAGAACTAACATATATTTTATTTATTACTTATTTACTTTACTTATACCTCACCTTTGTCTCCAATGGGGACCCAAAGTAGCTTACATCATTCTCCTGTCCTCCATCATGTTATCCTCACATCTACTCTGTGAAAAGGGTTAGGCTGGGACAGGCCCAAGGTCACCCAGCGAGCCTCCATGGCAGAGTGGGGATTTGAACCTGGGTCTCCCAGATCCTAGTCTGACTTTCTGACCAATGCACCACATTGGCAGCCTAGGTTAGTTGATATTTCCGACAAAAATATGATATTTTTCTGGTTGTGTTCTGTAAAATTACATTCCATTGAATCCTAGTCCATTTAACTTTTTTTCCTTAACCAACCCCCCCTGAGCTGTGCCTGCCTTAAGAGTTAGCTTTCAGCTGTTGTGATCTCTGGAGGAACAGCATTATCCTTTCGTGGGAGAGGGAAGGGTCAGTTGGCCTAGCCAAACAATTACTCATATGAGAAGGAATCCCTAAAGAATGATCAAGTCCATTCTTGAAGTAGAAATCAGCAGCGGAGATGATGGGCTTACAATATACCAGTCTCATCAGTGTTTTCTAATAAGTTTTTAAAAAAACAAAAACTGAAGCACCTGGGATGCTCTAGATGTGTATTAAATAGAAAGTCTAGTTGTCAGGATTAGTAAAGCATTGAACTAAAAATGTGAGAAAGTGGTGACATCCCACAAAGGGCTTGTCTTAAAGCATAATGAATGTATATACAGTAACAAGGAACGCAGGGAAAGCCTACTGCTTTTGCAAGAGAAGTCACTGGTCTCTTCAAAAGTACACTATCATTTCTTCAGACATTCTGTAGTGCAGTTTTTAAAAAGTACAGTGTTGAAGGAAGCCCATACTTCAAGGGATTTT